GACTCCTTGGCTAGAGGCAAATTATTCAAGCGAAAGCGTTTGGCAAAGATAAATTTAATGGAAGAATCTATTCTTGAAATAAAAAAACGTGTTTACATGTAAATTCAATTAATTAGGGTCCATAAATATTCCACTCATCTTGATTATATTGACCTAAATGACGTACTAGAGTCTAGAAAGCATTCCTAAAATACACCTGGACCAATATGTTTTATGAATTAAATTAATATCGTATACTATCACTATAAATTTTCTAATGTGTATCGTTATTGAGGCTCGTCGAGGCTAATCAAAAGGGAGATGATGTTTAAGTGACACCAAAATTGACTTTGCATTTGGAGTACCAAAAAAATTAAAAATTATACATTTTCACATGTTTACTATTTTTTTTTTTTAATTTTTTGCGAAAATAGGACAGTAAAGATAAATTCATACATAAACCATTCATAGATAAGTCATAAACCAAATAATAGCGCATTCTAAAAACTAATAAGTCAAATCAAATGACAGTGTATTTTTAAAATTAATGACAAAAATAAACTATAAATCAATCAATCATTCATAGCCGTGAAATATAGTATATTTTCAATAAAAAAAATAACATATAAATATGCAAATAAAAACGAATTTGTTGGCGAATTGTGTAATTTTCTCAAAATCATAAAGAGCAAAAACAAATAAAAAAAACTCCAGAAACAATCATAGACAGCATATAACTACAAACTGTCTTCAAAACTATGAACCACCCAAAGCAAAATATACATCTAACAACAACAAAATAGTTGTGCTTTTGTTGTTGTGAATTGTGTTGTGTTGTGTTAAGCTGTTGCTGCCTTCAAAACTATACGTTTTCACGTCGTTTTTCGTCGGAGTGGCTAGATTGTTGTGGAAAGGGCTTTAGTTTAAATATAGTGTGTTTTGTTGTTATGTTTATGTTGTAGTGTGCGTTTGTGATTTTTTATCTCCTCTTTAGGAGTGTGTATTCTCCCGTTGAGGAGTTGGTATTCTCCTATTCGAGTTTTTTTATTTTTATTTATTTTGTGTTGTGTCATCTAGACTACCTTAGGTAGGTCTCCTTATTCGACTAGTTAGGCAATTGTAATTACATGTTCACAGATGACAAACCATTTGATAAGGTTGAAGCAAAAATGGAAATCTATGACGAGTGATTATAAAGTTGTCAACAAGCATCTAATTAAAAATAGTCTTATCGAAAAATCAATAGCACATAAAACAAACATATAGATAAATTATTTTACTTGAAAAGTAGTAAATTAAAGTAGTCCAAAATCATATTACTTAATTAAAAATATAAACATCGTCAAAGTTAACATATAATTGGGGGTGTTTCTCTAAATTATCTGTCTGCCTATTTCTCTTGATATCTAGAGACTTCTAACACCTAGCGGAAATAAGGAAATTAGGGGAACACCAACTATAAAAACCATCAGTTTAGAGGTAATTTATGAGACTAAAGAGATAGGACTCATTGCAAAATAATTCGGACTAAAAATTAAAATGCAACTTAAAACTGAAACCCGAAATAAAGACAAGCTATCTAATCTGACAATATTGTTAAAATGGAGTATAATTTAACATTCTTGTCATTTAATTAATGACTTTAAATTGACTCGTTGTAGACTCTATAAGCCTGACTATCATTAGCATCTCAAAAATTTTTAAATTTTTTAGGCATTCACTATTTTTAAATTTTTTGCCATGATCACTTTGAATGGAAACAACATTACAATTATTTTCTTCCACGTATCCTCAAACAAGATTACAAAATACATTGAACATATCAGATTTTTCTCTAAAAATATCTCGATAAGTCGCCCTCACACAAAATGATATACGTCTTATCGTTGTAACTACTTACCTAAATGGGTAGCAGCCAAGAACTTGATTAGTGTTCGGATCTGCCACAGGCTTGTGAGAAGCACGCGTATTAGATTCCCAAGTTTAAAACATTCGTAAACTTCATGTTTCTTCATCTTCAAGTTTGTCATCTTCAAGTTTGGAAGGTTTAGAGCGACTTACCGACTGATAGGGAAGACTTTATTCTAGCTATTTTTTTTTTGTTGTAGTAGTTGTTAGTAGTTTTGTTTGTGGTATACTGTTTAGTGTCTTATTCTCCTTTTGGAGCTATAATTCTTCATTTGTGAGAATATTATTATTGTAGTTTCTTAGTCTTATGGGTGTGTTTTAGTATAATTGTATCCAAGCTACCGACACTTCGTTGTATAGGCCTCTTTGGATTCTGCTGTATAGCCACTTGAGTCGACTTACTAACTATTTTCAGAAATGTAAATATGTGTTATTTATAAAATCTATCGTTGCGAAAAAGAAAAAAAGAAAAAAAAAATCAAATGGCATACTGAAATATAAATTTTTCTCCACACATCGTTCCGAAGTACAAGCTCCAAAGGAAAGCGTAAAGTAAAATAGTCCGAATGGAAACAAGTTATGTAAGTCACAAGACCCACATCTCAATAGCCCATGGGAGTTTGACAAAAAGCTCTAATTGCCTAGAATCACATTCCCGTAAAAGCCTTTTTCCCACGACCAGATGACCCGGCAGGTATCACCTTAAGGACATTAAACCTCACTGTTTTTGACAATGGCCTGCAAAACAATATAAATCAGGCCATCAAACGAAAATTCAAGTTATCACTACAAAAACCACATTACTACACCTTGCCCTTTTTGTCTTTTCATACTTACATCTGAAGGAACATTATTTGCACTGTAAATACAAAAGCTATATGCGTGCAAGACTTAAAGGGTGGCGCCAATATTTGATATTCAAAGACAATGAGTTTTTATACTTGCACTAAAAGCTTAGGAGTCATTGTAATATCAATAATAAAAACAATGATAATTAAGTTTGCAATTAACCTGCATTGGCCAATGATAACATGGTCACCCTCTTTCACACGGAAGCATGGGGATATGTGAGCTGCAATATTTGAGTGCCTCTTTTCGTACCTAAAGGAAGAACCAATCAATCAAAAAACAAAAGAAAGAAAGTGAGCACTAGTAAAAGCATCATAAAATGAATTGGATACCTTTGGTACTTCTTGACCCAATGCAAGTAGTTGCGTCGAACAATGATTGTTCTCATCATCTTAGCACTGTGGCATGTTCCAGCCAGGATACGGCCCCTGATGGATACACTCCCAGTGAAGGGGCATTTCTTGTCAATGTACGTGCCTGAAAGAAACAATCCAAATGATCAACTGATCAAGGCAAACCTAACAAGATAAGAAAGGTGTTTATGGATAATTGTAGGAAAAATGTTTATTAGGCCCACATAGTAAGAATTTATTTTGATAAAGGACACTAAATCTCATCTGAAGGTTTGTTTAACAAGGACGAGCAATAGATAATTTTTTAAGCATACAAATAACTTACGGTTTATTAGTACATTTTAGTTAATGCTTTTATGAATATAGGTAATATATATGTAAAACAATAGGTAATTTTTATTGCATATACGTATTATCGGATAGGGCAGTTTTTATAAATATAAGTTATTATTGTAAAATGACAAGTAATATTTGTCCTTAAGTAAAATTAAGTTTTTTTTTATGCATCATTGTAAAAGAAAGTCCTACCAAAAAATAGTTGTATGCTTAATCTATAAGGGCCTGTTTGGTTGATATATAGGATATGGCTTGATTATTTCCTAACAATCAATCTGGCACATTAATAAAGATTTAATGGCACTTAGTATAATGGTTGCACGATATCAACCAATTACAAGTGTTAGTTATAAATTTTTTTATTGAGTTTCAATCCAAAATTTATTGATTCATTAACAAAAGGCTATATATCAAGTTCATAAAGGGCATCCAAACGCACCCCTAAGAGTATTAAATACTTCTAATAGCTAGAAGAACAAATCAATAGAAGAACAACTAGTGGCACTGCTTCTGTGCTTACATCTGATCCAATCAAATGAGTAAATGAACCATATGTATAAACAGCTATAGTTTCATTCAGGTACAAAACATGCTAAATACCCAATATATTTATGCTCATTCCAATTTCCTACCCTAAAATATCATAGTCCCAACAGATCCTAATTAACAAGTTAATGAATCAATATTTTTGTCCTAACATCATTGTATCAAGCGCTAGCAAAGAGGAAAAGGCAAAGCGGAAAATTAATAAACCTTCGATGGCCTCGCGTGGAGTTTTAAAACCTAATCCAATGCTCTTCCAGTAGCGATTGCCTCCCTTTCCCGGAGCCTTCCCTTTTCCCGACTTCTTCGAGCTGCACCCAACTCCAATTAGCAGAGTACCAAATGCATGAATTTAACTCGAATTAACACGAAAATCTTACCAAAGAAACACCTTCGGCTGCTTCAAGAATGCCTTCTCAGTCTGCAATAAACAAAAACAAAAAGGGAACGCCGTACATCAATAATTATGCCTCACCCATATAAAAACGTAACAACCATACAAATATGTGGGAGGTGTGTGGATTTAGAGAGAGAGAGAGACAGAAGAGTATGCTAGTTCGAATACCTGTTCCGCCATGGTTGCTGGGAATGGATTGCAGGTGAAAATGGAGAAAAGGAAGCGGCGGGCTGTGTTGCTTTAGATGGATGTGCAGGGTTTTTAGGGTTGTGAAAATGGCCACATATATGTATACTCACCGTCACAATAAGATTCTTAATTAATTAAAATACTAATTAAACAATCTATATATAGTAATATAAAAAGCTTATTAGAAAAATATAAGTTTGACTAAAAAAATAAATGATTTGACTTACTATTATTGAAAATTTCAAAAAAAAACACATATAAATATTTATTAATCAAATTTAATTGAAATATCTCAACAAATTTAGAGATTTATGTGGTAACAAATTTAGAGATTCTTATACAAAAATTTAATTTTTTTCTTAAATATAAATCTCATATTAATCTCATTTTTATTTGTAACAAATTTCGATATTCTTATGCCAAATTTTTGAGATTTTGATCCCAACAATTACGGTTTTTTTTTCATTCAAATTAATGTTGTAAATCAAACAAAAAATTGTAGAATATTGAATGTTATACAAAATATTGATAAACTCCAATCCACCATAAATTATTTATATTTATTATTTTTTTGGGTAAATATATTTATTTTATTTTCGTAAATAATAATAAATCATATTATTTTATGACCTAACTTCTAACTTCTTTTTCTATTTTTTGGTGCTTTATATTCTTGAATTAAAATAATATATGACTTATTTAATTGAAACAACTTATTTTCCGCCATACAACCATAGAATATAAAAAATTATTAATTTACAAAAACTCACGACCTAAATATATATGTATTTATATATAAAAAGGTGAAACATTTAGTTGAAATAGTATGTAAAATCCCGCCTAAAATTTTAGTTTTTACTGATAATTGATTTTTTTTTAAATTTTCATAAATTCTCACCCAAAGTAAAAGTTGATTTAAAAAAAAATTGAAAATCCAGCCAAATATTTAACTATTGATAATTTTGTTATCCATATTTATCTAACTATAAAATATTTTTAAAGTTTGGAAATAATCTCAATACTAGTACAACACTCGTGTATTACACGGGTGCTTGTTAAAAAATTATTCTTAAATTTTAAAATTAATAAGAAACATTATTTTAAATTTTATTTACTTTTTTACAAAAAATATATATTATTATATATTTTTAAATGACACTTGTTACTTACTTATGCGACTTACATGTGTTATATTATAGTAATTTTTATCATATAATTACTTGAAATATAAATATATTAATTGGTAAATAATTTTATTTTTCTAATTAATATTAAAAATAATTTTATTATTGTTATAAAGATAAATATAATTTATTTTTTTATACATACGATATGGATGTTAAATCGAAGTTCATCAAGAGATGATTAATTTGATATAATTATGACACGTGAGAAATCTTGTATTATTTTGGGATTTAATTTACATATTTGAGTATTTGATTTTAGTGTATTATTAAGTTTTCTCACGTATTTTATTTTGTGAACGGACGTACACCAATATTCGATTTTGTGTCTATTTTGCAGTTATTATGCATATTTGTGACGTGGCATTGATGAGGTGGCAGCTGAGTTGACAAGGGTGTGGAATTGAATTTATTTGGCCAAGGATTTAAAAGAAAAGAGACCTATTTGTTCTAATTCTCTCATAGCTGGTCGAGTTTGGAGGAAATTAATTCTCATGAGACACTTATGCGAGAGAAATTAATTGAAAAGGAGGGAAGATTGCACTAGGACTCTTAATTTTTCCTTGGCCGGTGACACGTGCTTAAGGAAATAATTTGGGACTTAAGGTATTACTTGGTGGACTTAAAGAATTAAAAAAGGAGGATGGACTCTTAATTAAGGGGAATTAAAAAGTTGACTTGAGTGGGACTCTTATGTTTGGTTTTTGGCTGGGACTTATGCGTACAGAAGAGAAGTGAACAGGGGGAATACTATCTTTCTTTTTGCTACTGGAATTTAATTTCCAACCGTGGACCGAGAGCATCGTGAAGGAGTTTGATCATTATTTTTTTTATTCTGTTGCTTTTCTATTTTATTTGAAGAACATGAATTTTAATTTTTATTTTTATTATTTAGCTATGTGTAGCTAAACACTATTTCGGTTCTAGGGACGTTGAACCCTCGATGACTATGTTTGATTAATGCTATTTATTTTATTTTACTCGTCGTATAAAATTGTTTGTGTTATTCTAATTTCATGTCATAATGTGTGATTTTTAATTTAGCTTGATCACCTAAGTTAGGAATTACATGTTAATTGCTAGATTTGAGGCTTCGATCCGTAATTGTCGTTGCTCTTATTTCGTTTGTAGCAACTAACAGTCGTGCATTGTTAGGGATAGCACAACATAAGTTACATGAACCGAGCTTATGTGTTTGTGGCTTAGATCGGTCTATTTTCCTAGATTTTAATGCGACTAGTGGGTTAAATTAGGAGAGCTTATTCCGAGTTATTCGCTAGTTAGAATTAATTGAAGAGCCTATTTCGATTAAGTATAAATTAAGGGAAAATTCGGGTAGCAGAGCTTATTGCTATCTAGGACCGGTAGTTTTAGAAAACGAGTGAAATTTGATAAATGCATTAATTGGGCTAGTTATTCGAGGGTGTAGACCAACCTGGAACCGATTCCATTCTCATCTTTGCTAGATTATTTTTATTTATTTTTCATTTCATCATCTTTGGCATATAATTCATTTATTTTTTATTTTCAGTTTATTTCTTGTTTTGCTAGTAGTTTCGTCATAAATCAAATCCCCCCCATTTTTATTTTAATTTAATTAATATAATAAAATCACGGTTTATACCACACTCCCTGTGGGATCGACCCTTGCTCGCCACTACTACTAGTTAGTAGGGGTTAGACGAGGAAAATTTTATAAATATAAATTTGACGTGTAACGACGCGCGGTCAAATTATATATGTAAAGCTGATAAAAAAATAAAAAAGTTATTAACTTTTAAAATACATTTACAATTCAATGGTTATAATAAGAAATAATATTAAAATACAATTAATATATGTTACATAACCATTAATAATCAACATATTTATGGATAATCCGAATACATTTAAAATAGCCATGGACAATAGTAGTAAATAGAGGCAAAAGTGAAAAAAAAATTCAACGTCTCTGGAAAAGCCTCGTTTCGAACACGACACTATCATTTGATGTGAATAACATATTTGTCGCGCACCATCGTGTTTTGAAGCAAAATCGTATACATTTAAACTAGCCATGGAAAATAGTAGTAAATAGAGAAAAAATCAAAAAAATTTCTGACGTCTCCGGAAAAGCATGGTTTCGAACACGACACTATCATTTGATGTAAATAACATATTTGTTGCGCACCATCGTGTTTTGAAGCAAAATCGTATACATTTAAAATAGCCATGAAAAATAGTAGTAAAAAATGACAAAAGTGAAATTTTTTTCGACGTCTCCGGAAAAGCATGGTTTCGAACATGACACTATCATTTGTTGTGACTAACATATTGTCGCGTACCATCGTGTTTTGAAAAAAAATAGTATACATTTAAAATAGCCATGGAAAATAATTGTAAATAGAGGCGAAAGTGAAAATTTTTTCGACGTCTCCGAAAGAGCATGGTTTCGAACACGACACTATCATTTTATATGAATAACAAATCTGTCGCGCACCATCATGTTTTGAAGCAAAATCGTATACATTTAAAATAGCCATGAAAAATAATAGTAAATAGAGGCCAAAGTGAAAAAAATTTCGACGTCTCCGGAAAAGCATCTTTCGAACACGACACTATCATTTGATGTGAATAACATATTTGTCGCGCACCATCGTGTTTTGAAGCAAAATAGGATACATTTAAAATAACCATGGAAAATAGTAGTAAATAGAGGCAAAAGTGAAATATTTTTCGACGTCTCCAGAAAAGAAACAACACGAAACTATAATTTGATGTGAATAACATATTTGTCGCGCACCATTGTGTTTTGAAGCAAAATCGTAAACATTTAAATAGCCATGGAAAATAGTTGTAAATAGAGGCAAAAGTGAAAAGTTTTTCGACGTCTTCGAAAGAGCTTGGTTTTGAACACGACACTATCATTTTATATGAATAACAAATCTGTCGCGCACCATCATGTTTTGAAGCAAAATCGTATACATTTAAAATAGCCATGGAAAATAGTAGTAAATTGAGGAAAAAATCAAAAAAAATTCGACGTCTCCGAAAAAGCATGGTTTCGAACACGACACTATCATTTGATGTGAATAACATATTTGTCGCGCACCATCGTGTTTTGAAGCAAAATAGTATACATTTAAAATAGCCATGGAAAATAGTAGTAAATAGAGGCCAAAGTGAAATTTTTTTCGACGTCTCCGGAAAAGCATGGTTTCGAACAAGACACTATCATTTGATGTAAATAACATACTTGTCGCGCACCATCTTGTTTTGAAGCAAATTCGTATACATTTAAAATAGCCATGAAAAATAGTAGTAAAAAGAGGGAAAATTGAAATTTTTTTCGACGTCTCCGGAAAAGCATGGTTTCGAACACGATACTATCATTTGATGTGAATAACATATTTGTCGCGCACCATCGTGTTTTGAAGCAAAATCATATAAATTTAAAATAGCCATGGAAAATAGTAGTAAATAGAGGCAAAAGTGAAAAATTTTTTGACGTCTCCGGAAAAGCATCGTTTCGAACACGACACTATCATTGATGTGAATAACATATTTGTCGCGTACCATCGTGTTTTGAAGCAAAATCATATACATTTAAAATAGTCATGGAATATAGTAGTAAATAGAGGAAAAAATCAAAAAAATTTCGACGTCTTCAGAAAAGCATGGTTTCAAACACGACACTATCATTTGATGTGAATAACATATTTATCGCGCACCATCGTGTTTTGAAGCAAAATAGTATACATTTAAAATAGCCATGGAAAATAGTAGTAAACAGATGCAAAAGTGAAAATTTTTTCGACGTCTCCAGAAAAGCAACACGACACTATAATTTGAAGTAAATAACATATTTGTCGCGCACCATCGTGTTTTGAAGCAAAATCGTAAACATTTGAAATAGCCATGGAAAATAGTTGTAAATAGAGGCAAAA